ATTTACCTCTCACCATCGATTGTTACCATCGTCGTCTACTGCCACCATCCACCACCATCCTCATCTCATTCTTATAATTATTACTACTGCCATCATCATTCCACTACCACCGTTGCCCACTGTCAATACCTATCACCACCATTGTTGCCCACCGCCACCCACTACCATAATTATCCACCACCACCTGTCGTTGGCAACCATTGCCACCAATCACTGTCACCCACCCCCACCACACCTACCACCGTCATTCGCCACCACCCATCACATTGTCGCCTAGAAGCACCTATCATCGCCCAACACCGCCATCGTCACCGCCTACCACCGCCACCACCACCACTGCCAATAATTATCACCGTCGCCCACCACCACTACTGCCAACCACCATCACCGTCGCCCACCACCACCCACACCCATCACTACAACCAGCGTCACCCAAAACCCACCACCACCACCATCACCGTTGCGACCCACTGCCATCACCACCAAGATCGTTGTCACCCACGACATTCATCTCCATTTTCCACCACCACCACCAATGCTGCCCACCAACACTACCACCGCTCAGTCCCACTACAATTACTACTTAAATTTCTTTTTCTCTCCTCTATATTTGTGATTTGATTTTGAGTGTTAATACAAATATATTTATTATTGACTATTTTTTTTTTATTACTCCGTGCCTTCGGGCACGAAAAATAACTAATACTCAAATAAGATGCCTTAGAGAGTTATGCATTCTAAAATTTTTGTTTCTTCATATATATACTTATTATTCTAATCCATTATAGCAACGACTCACAAGTGTTAGGTCATATATAATGGAGGATTTCTCTACTCCTAAGTTCCATTCTATCTCTACCATTGACACTTAAAAATCCGTCTATAAACACCCAGAGAACAGCCTCATCTGGCACTTTGTTTCTCTCTATTGCTTGAGTCATATAAAGTTCCACTCAACATTTGGGTTTTCCAACAGTCGGGAAATAACCATTTAAAGAGACAAGTATGCTAAGGAGAATGCAAGTTCAAAACAGTAAAGTTTCAACAAAGTTCAACATATATTACTTTCTTTTTTGCAAATTCTGTCGAAAAAATTTTCATCCCCGGATAAAATGAAAATATAACGATTTAACTATTCACCATATCATTCTGGTTCTAGATACTGCTAATCTGCAAAATGGTATTTTTGACATGCTTGCCACATGGCACATGTCTTAGATCATGTATATCTATTCTCATGTGCAAACACTTGAACTTCGAGTTCAACAAAACTGAAGTTATTTTTTTAACAAATCACAAACAAGTAAGCATATTAAAGTCAACAATAACTGGTATAGCAATTTACCAAGAAAACTTTTTGCCAGATGGATTCTTGTCCGGTAAATGCCAGGGGCAGATTGACTCCTTGAAGTGCCATCCAATCGATCTCTTTCTCCCATCTTTCCCAATCCCACCAAACATAGGAATCTGTAAATTTTAATAAAAATGCATACAATGCTATTGGCACCGGCTGCATGAGCAAAATTTCAAAGAGCTAAAATACAAATCAAGCATGGCATCTTATGTCCCATCTTTTCAAAGTGAAAAAAGGCTTGTCTACTTAAGTTTGTAATTATGGACTCTACTATCAAGTTCGCTAACTCTCAATAGCCTAGAGCAACAAGAGAAAATTGGCAAAATGGATATATATATAAAATAAATTTTGTGATTAGAGTTAAGTATCTTATATTATGACAGAACCTATACAGTTACCAAGACTAGACATATTAAAATCGTACTCAAAATATAATAATAAAAGCAAAAGATACATAAAAATTTTAGAAAATAAAAATTGAGAAAACAATAACAATCATTTAAATTCTTTATGTTGGGTATATGTTGTCTAAAAATAATTGATGATTATTGACTATTATAATGCTTTAGTGTAAAAATTCACAATAAATGACTAGACATTAGTCATAACAATTACGTATTATAAAGTACTCAATTTCTTATGAATAATATATCATCAGAAAAATATAGCGATAAATTATATCATTTTATATATAAAACAAAATTATCTATAGCAGATACCTAACATGTTCGTGTCATGTTTTTTTTGAGAAATGTCGTATCTACATGTCCGTGTCGTGTCGTCTCCGTGTCCATGTCCACGCTTCCTAGGTGATGATCTAGACAAGAAACAACAGTGATTGTTGATCAAGTTCGTTTTGTGTTTTAGGTATCTTTTCTAAGAAAAGAAAGAAATGCATCTAAAAAAGAATATGTTAGTACCTTAAAGAGATTATGTAGAGGTTTGTGGGGGAAGAAAGGAGCATCAATATCATATATTGATGTGATTAACAACATGAATGATGACTTAAGAGCTAGTAAGAGAATAGTGGGAGGAAAGAAGTGAAGTTCAATAACCAAGAACTTTATTGATTTCTTAGGATGTATGAGGCATTTTCAAGATGATATTATGAGGTGTAATTTGCTGAAGATAAATCTTCACAAATGGAGAATGGGCTAATCCTTTGTCAATGAATATATCATGAAATTTTACGGTCAATTTTTCTAAGAGACAATATTTATGTGTCAGATTGAAGATTGGAGATTCAAGCCTAAAGAACAGACTAGGTCAACTAAATGCGAAGGTGTTACTATGTGTTTGTGAGATTGGTCCTTCTAAGTTTGAGGGTGAAGTTTTGCTGGACAACAATTTACTGAACTAAGCTTTTTGGTATCCTATGGAATTTTGAACAGCCTAACAAAAACGTGTTCCAAGATTAATTACATGTGAAATGAGAGTGCTAAGATGGATGCGGGTTGTTATGATTGCAAATAATATCAAAAGTGCATGCACTTGGGAAGCTAGAGGTGTAACTGCCATAACAAAAATGGGGGCAGGTTGGGTAAGATGGTTTGATTATGCGGAACTATGAAGTACGAGCACTCTCAAGAAGATGACATATTCATGCTGGACACCAACACTCCTCGGACACATATCAGACACTCTTTTATCCGTATCTATAATTAAATGACAAAATATTAATTTCAAAGACGTGTCCGACACTTCTTTAGACCTTATCTAATACTAAACACTAACCATGTGTTGACACGTGATTAACAAAGCTCAAAAAATTGAGTATTTTATACTGTGAGAGAATAACTTAAACTATATATGTTAAAATTGTACTCAAAATATAATAATAAAAGTGTGAGATACATAAAGAATTTAGAAAAGAATAATTCAGAAACGAGAGCAATCATTTAAATTCTATATGTACAATACAAGACTAAGAAAAAATTGATGAGTATTGATTATTGTGATGTTAGTCTAAAAATTCATACTAGATGACTAAACACTGCATTGACCTATCACAACATAAAGAATTGTTTATGGATAATATATCATTATTATTATATTTGTGATAAATTATATACTTTTATATATAAAACATAATTATTTTTAGTGTGTCCCCAATGTGTCCATGTCAATTTTTTTTTGAGAAATATCGTGTCGTGGCGTGTCGTATCCATATCCCGTGTCTATGCTTCTTAGCCTAAAATGACTTAACTTTATTGACAACTTTAAAATGATTACTTAATAATGCTCAAAAATATTCATAATTACTCAGCAATGGGATTTCAGCAATGTGAATCTCAGCAATTTGATTCTTTTACTGTAATTTGGAATGATTTTCCTATATCCTTAAGAGGCCCTTTTTCTTCCAAACTCCACAATCTTAACCCATGTTTTCAGTAAAATGAAAAGACAAAAATATGTTATACTATCTCACCTATCAAACTTTTACTCTAGCACTTCTTTTGTCTGCTCTCTTCTTTTTCACACACAAAAACACACCAAGTTAACCGCACATAAGCCTTTATTCTGCTCCCTCTCAATCTCTCTCGCTCCCTTTCTCACCCTCCATGTCCTCCATCTTCATGGGTCATGGCAACTATCCCAAGCCTCAATGGCATTCCTCGATCCAATCATCTATTTGAAGCCCTCCGCTGCCTTCAGGACAAAACTTACTCAAAAAGAATTTGGCAAAAATAGCCTTGATTGGTCAAAGCAACAACCTTAAAATGAAAATTTCTAAACTGACTGTGCACCATTTAATTTTAAATTATGTAATTAGAGCGAGAAAAGAAAAGAAAAGAAAATTTGTTATTTGATATTGTGGGATCGATTTTTTGGATGCTCGGATGTTATGTTATGTCGTGTCTTCAGGCACAGGTGGTAGTTGGTTAATCCATATACTCCACCTACTTCCAAATACTTCCACTTCCGAAACATAATCCAACAAACTCCAATCCACATAGCTAGAGCCCTTTTCAAAATTGATTTTAAAAAGCAAAACCTTCATTCTCATCTATAACTCTCCACTACCTCATATCCACAAATATAACTGTGTCTTTTGTTACATCTTTGCATTTAAGAATTTTGTACTATGACCTCCATTAAAGTCTTTAAAATTTTGTTCCATTGATTGTACAATAACTATAGGATTCTATTAGAGAATCCTATGCCAAAATACAAAAGTAATTCTTTCCATTCTTTTGGTATGTATCCTTGCTTTTGGACACCACGCCTACAGTGCACCAAACATAATCCTTTCATCTATTTTGTCGTTGCTTTAAGATGGCTTAATAAGTGACCATAGTTGTGGCTTGCTGCTTCTTTCTGAAAAAAATATGGCTTGGAAATTTAAGTTTTAAAGTTCTTGGTCTACAGATATGTACTAAAAATTGGATGAAAAACACTAAGGGGATACCAAGAAAAGAAAGGATATATTCATTAAACAAATGGAAGGACTAAAGGAACAGAAACAACACCATATTACAAAAAACAAGCAACTAAGGGGCATAAAGTTTTCATATGGAGCAAACAACATGCAGTCGAATATAACTTTATTTTTTCATTAATTTTACTACCAGAAATGAGAGCAGAATCATACCCTAATGCATTAATACCACTTTAGTAGTGTATACATCTAATGAAGACGGCAACATTAACCATTAAAAAAGAAGAGGTCAAAGAAGATTTGGTACTCACAACTGGAAGTGACAACATTTTGGTAATAATTCCATGGGATTGGGCGTGGAATCATTACTCCCTCTTCTTTCACAAGAGGCAATGATCCTGGCTTGGGAATAGAAGCTATTTGAATACCGCCAGTAAGGTCCCATGAAACATGAGCACCGCACCAATACTTCAAATACCAATGGAAGCCAGAAGTGATTTCAACTGCAGTAGTGCCTTGTATACTGGAGAAACGAGAAACATCAGCTGTTTGAGAATTATTGTGAATACAATTTTCATCCCTTGGGCCTTCATATTAATTTGGAGAAAAATAAAAACCAAGAGGACTAAGATGACAAAACGATTGAAGCCCTCAACTATCCACCAACTATGTTTTTTCAATGATGACTACTAAGCAAGACTGAACCAACTGCACAAATGTGTCTAGGCATTTCATAGAGAGATCAAATGATCCCTTGTGCTTCATAGAACTTCAATACAGAAAATGGAAGTCAACTTTATAATGCTGGCAATAATTTATAATGTATCTCATCACAAAGACCTAAATTTGACACCACACAAATGTTGTGGTTATTCCATTCTCAACAATTGTTTATCCAGTCACATGCTATAAAAAAACAAAAAGGGTAGAAAGTTACAATACCAACTTGTCAAAGTTTTGTTCAAAAGAAAAAATTGTCAAAGTTCAACACTATACACAACACATCCAAGTAAGTACACCATCGACCCTAACCCGGGCAAAAGAAATAAAATATAAATTGTTGAAATAAAAATACTTAAGTTATACCTTCTCTAACACTAACAGCTTAAACTTTTAGAGTAGATTGTTGTTTAACATGATATCAGATAAAGAGACCATGTATTCAAATTTCACAGCCACCCTAATTATTAAAAGATTTCAACGTGCTAGACCAAAAATCTAGCCAACACATGAAGGTGTACCTTCTCTAATAGCTTAAGCTTTTAGTATAGATGATTGTTTAACAAAAACAAAGTAAAAATTTTATTACTAATTTAAAATTGAAAAGAAAACAGCATAAAACTTTTAGTGATATTCAAAATATCTATGCCAGATTAGACTTGGAAGAAAATACTGTTTTAGCACTTGAAATAATCAAACAACACATACATTATCTCTGGTGAATTCTCGCTTGACCTCCTGTAATTGTTTATCCGAAAGCAACTGTGTCCACCACAAACATCCTAGTATGTGAAATCAAAATAGTTAACAAGCTTAAATACAATACCAACATATCAATTTCATCAATCTTAAAGATAAGAAACAACAAAGATATGATAATACTTCACCAACAAATAAGTCAACTGTCACAACATAAAGCAGTGAACCAACATTTTTCATCTTAAAATGACTGGCAACTTTGAGATCTTGCACATAGCAATTAGCAACTAATCGTGACATCGGATGATAGGTTGCTGATGTGAACTTCTTCGCTCTTCTATATTTAATTTCAATATAAGTTTTAATTTTTATTGGACACACCATTACAAACAAAATAGGCAATTTTTTTCTCTACTAGGTAGAGTGTTGTAGTTATGCTCAACAGGAAATAGAAGAACTCTCAAGAAAGCAGATAAAAAATGAGAAGTGAAGGAGCCATTTAGATACCAGTTTAGAAGTTGATCCAATTTTTTTTTTAACAAAGGTTGATCAGAGTTGGAAAGCAAAAAATTATTCAAGTTCAGCTCTCTAACGCCAGTAATTCAAAAAATGACAACCAAACACTACCAACCAAATTTAGTCACTTTTCAGTAGCATTTTTAACATATGCTATCAGTCTAATTGAGGAGAATATATCAGATAAAGTTGAGCGAGGGAGAACCAAAATTTAGGGCAATAAAACTTTCAATCATATAATACCCAAGGATCAAAACAAATTCCTAACAAGTTACAAAACACACAGAAGCCCAACTCGACCAATCCTATAACAGATATTTTTATTCCATGTCCTTTTCTTTAATTTCAGGGCAATCAAACACTCAAAACACAAAACCAAGAAAAAATAAACAAATTTCTAAAACAAAAACACACAAGAATTTAGGAAACGCAGATACTGCAAAGCAGTAATTAAAGATTATAAAATCAGTTAGACCAGGACTGAGAAACCCAAGAAAAACAAGATGGCAGGTATGTTATCAGTCTAATTGCTGAAAAGATAGAAGGCAAAGGAAAAGAAAACTCCAATAGAAAATTTTTCAACCATATCAGACCCAAGAAAAGTACGAATTCCTAAACAAAGTTATAAAATACACACAAACCCAATGCAACTTAAACAAGCCTGTAACAGAGATGTTTTTTATTTTTCTTTGGTTTCAGGGCAACCTCACACTTTCAACTAGTTCAAATACAAACCAAGAACAAAGAAACAAAATTCAAAAACAAGAAAAAACAAGAATTGAAGGAAACGCAGATAGTGCAGAGCAGTAATTAAAATGAGTCAGACCCTGAAAAACCCAAGAAGAACAGGATAATGTAAAGAAAAAAAAATCCCTGATAGTAATATTCTCAACCGTATAAGACCCAAGAAAAGAAACAAATTACAAAACACACATACCAACTCAACCAATCCTATAACTGATACATTGTTTTTCCTTTTTTTTTCTTCACACTTTCAAGTACTTCAAAAGTTCAAATACATAACCGAGAAAAAAGAAACAAAATTCTAGAACAAGAAAAACCAAGATTGAAGGAAACGCAGATAGTGCAAGGTAGTAATTAAAGATTGTAAAATTAGTCAGAGAGAAACACAAGAAGGATATAAAAAATTTCAACCATATCAGGCCCAAGAAAAGAAACGAATTCCTAAACAAGTTAAAAAACACACAAACCCAATGCAACCCTGTAACAGAAATATTTTTCCCTTTGTCTTTTTGTGGTTTCGGGGCAACCAAACAGTTTCAACTTCTTAAACCACAAAACCAAGAAAAAAGAAACAAATTTCCACACCAAGAAAAACCAGAATTGGGACAAACCGCAGATAGTGCGAAGAATTAATTAAAGATTATATACTGAGCAGACCCAGGATTGAAAACCCACAAACGAATTCCTAAACTAGTTACAAAACACGCACAAACCCAACTCAACCAAGACTGTAACAGATATTTTTTCGTTTTCCATTACAACCAAACACTCTCAACTACCTGAAATACGAAACCAAGAAGAAACAAACAGATTTCAATAAAAGAAAAACAAAGAATCGAAGGGAATAAAGATAGTGTAAAGTAGTAATAAAACATTAGAAAATAGTCCGACCCAGGATCAAAAAACTCAAGGAAAACAAGATTGTACCTTGGAGACTATCTTGAATTCAAAGCTGGACAAATGGGCAGGAAGCAATCTTTCAAGAACACCCTTTGCTGCAGATTCTTGTATTGATGCAGATGACCGTTGGGTGTCCAAGCGTCTTACCAAAGATTCGATTACTTTTGACTCTTCGGATGGTGATGATAAAGATAGAGAAAGTAAAAGCACCACAACTGTTAAGAATAGCTGCGAATTGTACATTGTTTTGCTTGTGATACTAGTGTTCATTGCTCTTCTTCAGAGAAGAGTTAGAGGCCAATGGACTTGTAAACAACTTCAGATTAAACTGACAAACCTCCGGAAAAAGGCTCCAAGGAAAGTCAACACTGAAAGAAAAGACCAACACGAGCTCTTCTATTTGTAGGATCTCATGAAGCTTAAACTCAAGGATAAATTATATTTTGTACCTTTAAAATTTATGCATAATTCCTATTTGGGGCCTAAACTATTAATTAAAGCAATCAAGTCCTTGAATTTTAAAGTGCATTTCAGTTAAGTCCCTAATTTAGATTTGTCCAAAACTATATATATGAGCTAAATCTGCAAACAAAATTAACCAACCCATACGATTAGAGGGCTCAAATCATTTTTCCATTGTACAAAAGAAAAGAAGAAAAAGGGATCTAAAAAAATGAGTTTGAAAACATAAACTATAATATTAGAGGTAACTTATTCAAAATTAATCCCTTAATTGGGAAAAAAATATTGGGTATAACTATTATAACGCGTCAATAACCCACAAAAAATCATAACTACCTAGTCATATAATAAATAATCACTTTCATCATAGAAAATTGACCCTATTTTCTCTATTTTTTTTATTAGTCAAAATGTGCATAAATTGACTCAGATATTCTGACAGTTGAAACAAACAAAAAAAGTCAAAACTTGCAGTTTGACAACATAAACTATAATATTAGAGGCAACTTATTAAAAATTAATCCCCTAATTGGGGCACGTGATACTTGATGTTTTAGCATTAAAATTGTGGACTTATTTGGATAGGGGGAATTAATTACAATAGACTTAAAATTTAAGGACTTGATTGTTCTAACTAAAAGTTCAAGGACGAAATAGATTTTAGACATGGCGTGTAATATATAAATAAGCCTATACCCAATATAATTATTTAACCAACAAAACTCCAAATTAATAAGGCTTAATTGTAAATTATACCATAAAAGAGTATTTGAATCTTAATTTGCACTCTCAAAGATCAAAAAAATTAATTTGCACCCTCAAATATAAATATTTGTATCAATGTGCACCCTCAAAGATAAAAAATCTCAATTTACACCCTTAAAAATGAAAATTTCTATCAATATACATCTAAAACTAACCGCAATCAGTTTACTAGCTTAGAATTAAATTGATAAATTATACTTAGATCCTCTCATACTTGTCACTTAATCATTTAGACTCTTTCACATTTAGAATATTTTTCTTACATCTCATGATATTTGTGCACGTGTAACACGTAACCCTTTTTCGTTGATATCTGTTAATATAACCATTAAAAAATATAATTTTATCCTAATAAAAAATTATAATTTCATATTACTTTTTATTTTGTGGGTTAGATATATTTTAAAATTCAAAATCAAGTTTACCATTTGAATGTCCAATAGAATGTAAGTATTTATATAATGTTTTTTATATACAATGCAATATATCACTTAAACATAATTATTTGAATGCCCAATTAGGGGGGCATTTTAGATTGAGAGTATTTTTATTAGAATTTTATAACCGTTACAAAATATGATTTTATCCTAATAAAAAATTATTAGTTTATATTATCCTTTATTTTGTGAAGGGATCCAAATGATTAAATGACAAGTATGAGAGGATTTAGATATAATTTATTAATTTAGTTTTAGACAGCAAACTGACGGCAATCAGTTTTAAGTGTACATTGATACAAATTTTAATATTTGAGGGTGCAAATTGATATTTTTGATCTTTAGGGGTACGNTGAGAGGATTTAGATATAATTTATTAATTTAGTTTTAGACAGCAAACTGACGGCAATTAGTTTTAAGTGTACATTGATACAAATTTCTATATTTGAGGGTGCAAATTGATATTTTTGATCTTTAGGGGTACGCATTGATATAAATTTATATCTTTGAGGGTACAAATTAAAATTCGAACTATCTTTAGGGGTACAATTTGCAATTAAACCAATTAATAAAGTCATAATTTGTTATTTTTAAGTTGTATATTATTATTTTGTTATCTGGGTTTCTTTTGTTGCGATTTCTTTCTGTGAGTTTGTCACTTTGTTGGGAGGGAGGTGAGCCCTAAGAGAAGGCAGAAGGGGTTGTTTGGTGATTTCAGGGGGGGGTATTTGGAGGATCAGCGTGCCGCCTTCTGTTGATACTGCTCATCTGTGTGCAAACTATTCACTAATTTTGAGATTCTGCAACTGCTCATTTTTCCGTTGTCTTTATGAATTTTGAGGATAAGATACAAGTGTCTTGGCTCATTATAAAATAATCTGTCAGCATACCAAGCTAAATTGTATATATTTGGAGCCGTGTGCACTGAATTTTCTTTATTTTTCAAATTATTGACGAAGAACAAAATTCAAAATACACCGTTTTATATATTTATCTACTCTTTAACGTTCAGCATCCCCCAACATCCTCAAGTACTGCAGTAGTGAGACCATTTTTCAAGATCAAAAGTATTAATAGAGTACTTAGTCCGATTAAAGATTGCTTACTTACAAGTTGAGAGTAGATCACATCGCTTGCTTGAGAGTACATTTGTTTCAAGGCATACCCTAGGAATAATCACTTCCATATTTATGCCTTTTTTCCCCATGACAACTAGGAACAGACAAATCAAAAATTTCACTTCCAATTTTAAACCTCATCATCCTACTGCTCATGGCGTTTTACAACTACTATTGAAAATGTACGAACAAGTGGTAGAACGCACGGAACCACATAGTGGATCAAATTTGTGCTAGTGTGAAATAATCTGTAAAATATCAAACACGCACCCAGATGATGTTCAAGTTATTTTACTTGGGATAAAAGTCCATCCAAGTTTTTTCCTTCAATTTTCTTAAATCAGCCACTATTAATTTATGTAGGAACCACTGTCTATAAGTCAAGTCCCTCAATCATAGTAAGCTACCTTTGGAAGAAATTGAAAAATTACCATAACCTTGTACTTCTATCTTGATGATCTAGTCAATAAAAGCATTATTTTTTTTTCTCCTCAAGGCATTTCTGCATAGTATTTGTAAGTACACTGCAATTTAGAGTAAAAACATACGACTATCCCTTATTTTTTACACTAATTTGAATTTGTCCCCTCAACTGTAATTTATCTCAATTTTAATCTTAAAAAAATTCCCCTCAGCAAGGTCACATGGCATTCTGTTATTTCTCAGACATTGCCAAATTCAATGAGCCAATACTTACCTGTATCACTAAACAAATAAATAGCACATTTAGACCTTGCAACATTGCAGTCCTAAGCCTATTGAGGTTTGGGCAATAAACAGGGGGAATGATGACTATAAACCCAGTACATGAGCCTCCTCTCAACAATTCCCAACATAAATACATTAGTTGCCACACGATGAAAATAGAACCGCCTTTGGACAAAACTGGCTCTCCTAAAGATCCACCAATCGAGCTTGTAGATGTCAGAACAAAAGAATACGTCTTACCTCGCCATCATTCCTGGAAAAATAGAGAGCAAAAGGCTGGCAAACAAGTGCTCCATGCAATCTCAAACATTATTTGAAACAAACTGGGTTTTATCTTCATTGAAGATCATCACATTCATTCTACAACTGGAATATGGAGTCAAAAGAACAAAGAGAGTCAATAAGATGCCAGTACTGAAGAAATTCAATATGTAAATAAATATAATAAAAAAACCAAATCTTTAGAAAATTCCAAGTAAATGCTCTTAGATATCCAAGCATTAGATAACCACCCAATATATAAATAGGAAAAATTCCAAAACTCATTGACGCAGTATACCCTGAAGATGAATGAATTGAAAAATCTGGGTCACGTTGGAGTATATTGTTTCTTAACAAATAGGATCAAGACTTGTACCCATCTGACTAGAAAAAATGAGAAGCTGCATTCATAAACTATCAGGCAGCAACAATAGCACCGGTGATTATAAGCTCTCAGCTACAAAAGTTCGCTACATGTCAAGTTGATTAACTAAAAATTTAGAGCACATGAAACCAAACGAGTGATAAGAAAACACAAACCGAACATTTTGTTTCCACTGAGGTTCAAAAGAAAGAATACAATACAAGTGTTAGCTAAGGATACAAGATAAGTGTTAGCTCAACTCTGGCCCATGTAATCGTGATTCATTACCCTATCTCATCTAAGAGTACGGAGATTCTAACTATGCTCCAACACCAACCCCATCTGCTCCACACTAGAACAGCCAGGAAATAATAGACACTGTAATACCCTGAATCCCTAGCACATTACTTGGTACAATTAATATTGGATTAGGGAATATAAATTGTACTACACATGGTTTTAATTATATTGCACAAATTGTGGTAGCTTAATATATAGATACTAGAATTTGAGTGGACCAATCTAAATTTAGTTATATACTGAGCTACTATACTTTAGCAATTAAGATTCAGCAACCCCACTAATCTTAAGACAACAACAAAGCATATTTGCATAAACACTCGATTGAAAAATATAATCTAGTCAGCAACTGATCAACACAAATTACATTTACCTCTGTCACTGCACAGAAACTTCAGAGGAAATGCAAAGCTTCGAGTCTACCCCACCACTTATGACACTGTCACCTTTCCACCAGTCAACACATAATACCTGAATTTAACAAAGGCCGTGACATTTAAGAAACTCTGCATTCAATTTTCTGAATACAACAGTAGAACTCATGGAAAGGAAAGAGGAATACCTTGTCCTTGTGTGAATCAAGGACACACAGTGGCCACTGCAGAAGAAAATTATATTCAAGAGATCAATCTGATGTTTATCAATGTATGTGAGAATAAGTAAATGAGTTATGTGAAGAGAATATGATACCGCAGTTCTCAGATCCCATAACATTACTTTGCCATCATAAGAAGCAGAAACCAAATGAAACCATGATTTATCATGCCACTTGCAAGCCGATATCCAGGAAGTGTGGGACGAGAACTGAAATACAGGAGCAACAGTTCCTACCATAATGACATATTTTATGTGAGACATCATGATTCATATGGGTTTGCCCACACGCATGCACATACATGTCCAGATGTGCCTAAATGTGAGCAGGATTTTTTGTGTGCATGCGCATGGGGGGTGCATTCGCGCTGTGTGTGTGTGTGTTTAAGAAAGAGTGTGTACCTGGTTTGCGAGGATCCCATATCCTAATGATAGGGTCAGAACCACCAGCAGCAATTAGGGCAGAACTTTCACCTCCAACATCAAGGCAGTTGATGACTTTACCGCAGTACTATATGAAGAGATAAGCGAACGGTTATCATCATATTTCCAGCCAACAAAATTAACAAGCTTTTTTCTCTTCAATCAGAAAATATAACTAGAAGCACTATTCTCATTATGCTATTGGTCATACATTTCATACTAAAGGTGGCATGCCAGCAAATCCCGGTAAGTGACTTCCAAACATCAACAAGGCCAATTCAGAGGACCACTAAGAGAAAAGTTTCAAGCTTTTGCAGGACTAAGCACAAAGAGTACAATTTGTTCCCAGGATATTTCCAAATTATACTTTTCCCGTGCCAAAGAAAAACCCAGGGCAAGTTCAGAAACTTTGATAATCATTTGTATGTATCTGCCTAAGACTTAAAACTGCCAAGAGGAATATATAATTTAGCAACTTCCACAGAGAAATGTGTATTCTTGAATTGAATGCTGCAAATAACACAGCTCACTTAAGTTCTGACAATGATTAAACAGTGTGGCATATGAGAAATGGTTTTTTGCAGTCAAAGCCACAGAATAAGCCCAAAAGAAGAGTAAAATGATCCCAATGGAAAGTAGACATAAAGAAAATATAAATGAACCATGACGCCATGATATTACCTTAGATGAAATGGAAGAGTGAAACAAGATTCTGGTAATCGATTCTATTGTAAAGATTGAACTTAATGACTCCATCCAAACTTTCACGTGACTAACAATGAGATTATGGTCCAGCAATCAGTATTCTCCAACACTTGCAATCATGAGAACCTTACAGGGAAAAAATTGAAATATTGCCGCCAGGTTGGCTTAGGACAATGAACAAATTGATTTCCCCAAAAGAGTTAAAGGTGAATTCTCCACAAGCATGGGGAGATTTTCAAAAGTCAGTAAAGGCACAAGAATTTTATGCTCAATTTTTTTTTTAACTCATTAATATTTCCTAGTCCAAATAATGCTATTTACTTTACCATAGGAACAAGTTCTACTGAAAAAGAAAGCCATTTTTTTCCTAAAAGATATGCTTAATGTACTCAAAATATAAGTTTTTTTTTGGGATAGAAAACGCATTGTATTATAATTAACAAAGTGCCAAAAGGCAAATAAATACTCAAGACAACAAGGAATCCACTACAATATACAAGAAAACAAAGAGAAATAAAACAGAAAACTACAAACTTAGCAAAGATCCAGGACAATAACGTGCAATGCATAAGCAACTTATTATTCATAAAGATGTGCATAAATGCTCAACCAAAGCTAGCTGATCCCACACACCATGTTTAGTGAATCTTTGCCTGTTTCAACATCCCATCTTCTAATGGAATGATCCCATGATGCAGAATATATAGTTCCATACTGTGGCCAAACCACAGAAGCCACACATTGTGTATGTCCCACAAGTGTGGATACAGCTTCCCCCTGTATGCCACAGAAAAATGATTAGTAACCAGAGCCCCTTGATTGGAAACAGAAAGACCGTAAAGAGAAATGTACAGTTCATTAAATATTATTCAAAAGTACATGTAAATACCAAGCAACTTTAACAGGAAGAAGACACTGAGAAAATTGAAATTACAAAAACCAATTCAAGGACTCATGTCTAACGGTTCAACACAAAATATATCTATTGTGCAGTTGCTTAAACTAATATTTCAACTGCGCTAACCTCAACTTTTATTTTTTTGGCTTATGAAGCCAATATCTACAAACCAACATAAGAAAACTTTTTTGGTTATGAAGCCAATCTCTACAAACCAAGGCCATAAAGCTTTATTCAACTATTCTGATAATAGTACTCTTAAGTCAATGCGTCACTTAGGCCATCCATGAAATAAAACCGTCTCATTGTGTTTTATATTGCCTTGAACATCCGTGAATCCTCTTGTTCACATCATATACTCTTCATAGAATATGAAGAAAAAAAATCGAAGTAATATATATATATATATATAAATGCAGTTGAAAAAATCAGAACTTCATCTCTTGGGAAAAGAATCATGACATTGTTTCCTGACAATCTTCAAGCGGTATTTATATATCCAACATGGCATCTTCAATCCTAGGACAGGGACACTGATTCTGAAAACTGCAATTACATTCTTGATCATTGATTCATGAAGATCACAATTTCCTTAAACCTACTCAGTTTCTTTTCAAATTTTATATTGAAGGCTGACCATCACCCTTCAACACCATAAACAATTTCAGTTCCATGGAATAGTCCAACTCATGGAATAAGTAGTTTGTACCTCTGATTGAGATTCCCCACCGTCCGTATCCTTTTTTCTCTTCTTAATTGACACTAGGTCACCTCCCGCATCAAAGTCATTCGTCTGCCACAAATTAATTCTACAGTCCCAAGAACCAGAACACACCTGATGAATAATGGAAGAAAATCGAAGTATGTGACCACAATTTTAAAATACCCAATTTAATGTCAACAAGAGAGTAACAGGAATAGTCAAGACCATATCTCCAGAAGGTTGTGCTGCAATACTTTGAACAGAAGCATTATGTCCACGGAGGACTTTAAAGGCTCTAATCTTGGAAGGATGATCCAGGGACTGCTCTGCATCAAACTGCAGGGAAAGAGAACATTTAATAGGGAAGTTTCCTTTTACTAGGATGGGAATGTAAAGTGTACTATACAAGCAGTAGCATCATCAATTACCTTCCACAATCGGAGAGTCCTATCTTTTGATGCAGTGGCTACAAGTAGATCTGCCGTACTTTCCACAGCTGCAAGTACAACACAACCATATAAACAAACAAACAAAGTCGATGTAAGGCATATCACAGGCACAATAGAAGACACAGCACAAAGTGAAAGAAAAACAAAAAACATCAACAACAAAAATTAGCATGATGCTGGCATCAAGTCTTGGAGATACCCAACTGTTTCATGTCGAATAGGTCTTAATTCAATAGGTCCACAGATCAATTCTTCTATACAATAAATTGTCATCTCCTGCCTCCTTCACAACAATGATTCTCCGACAAAACCCCCGATTTTCCGACAATTAGGTGGCAGATAGTAGCAGAAGCTCTAAGGCTGTTATTCGTGACAAGGAATATAGTAAGGCCTGTACTGATCTATTCTAGTCATCCGTTCTCCAAACGTTGTCTATTTCAAAAATAACCTAGTTCCTGATTAAGACTTTAGTTTTCATCGTGTATGTTGCTCCACCATCTTCAATCATGCGCCTAAGTAGTTGAAGGGGCCAAGTTGCATAATCGTTTTGGCTTTTTGATTATATTTCGCTTGCTTGCACGACCGCCACTCTACTCCTCTTTGCTTGGAAAATAAAATATTACTTCGCTACCTTTCTCTGAGCTCCTAGGCAACTGATCCTACTCCCTAAGAAGAGTCATTAAAACAAAGGGATCCATTTAAAGGAATTCATGTTGATTGCTCAACTTCTGGTACTTTCAAGTCTCACATGGAAAAATACTACCTAAATAAGATTCTGTCAATCCAAGGATCGAAATATCGTTTCAAAGTACCGTTTCGATTAGCTCAAAAACAGAAACATTTCAAAAACGCAATGAAAACGCGGAAAAAATATAAAAACACGCAGAAATGCAAATTCAATATATTTATTTATAAAGATAAGCTTAATAAATGATTAAATGAGCATGTTTATTGGGTTAATGTCCATTTTTACAAGACAATATCAAGTTAGAGGAAAAAAAAGGGTTTGACACAAGGCGAAATCACTTCAATTAGTTTTAAACACTTAATTTTCATAAAACAAACACATTTTTACATGTATATATGACCATTTTAAATTAAATATGACATATATAACACTTTTATATTACATTGAGCACAAATTTATTGTTTGCATGCTATTATAATACTAAATTACTAATTTAAATTGTGTCATCAAATTACTAACTAATTATTTCATTAATATTAAAAATATTGCAAGAATAATTTTTACAAACATAAATACTTAATTTCAGATATTAAATATACTATAAAATTAATTTCAATTATTTGGATAAGTTAATTAACAATAATAAGTTATTTATTAATTATGGGGGCTATTAACAATTATAAAGGAAAAAGAGGGGATGAAATGACATTAATGTTAATTAAAACAAAATAAAAAGGCAAAGGAAAAAAACAAAGAAAAAAAAAAAAAATAAAGGATAAAACATAAAGAGATGCTGAGCATCAGTCTCAACGTGGGAGAGAGAAAGAGAGGCTATTGAACTCTAAAAACTAAGAAGGAATGAAGAGAGAAGGGACATACCCAAAGGTAATCTAGCTCGTGGGAGTGGAGGGAGGCCTAGATCTTCTCAGATCTGAACTCGGGGAGGTAAGCTACTGAACTATTCTCTTACAATTTCCTCTAGGTGTGTTCTGTATTTGTGTATTTCTCTCTCTCTCTCTTCGACTATGCCTCTCTCTCTTTTGGATAAAATCTGAATTCTCTTCTCCATGTCTTTCCCCTTTTTTTTTTTGGGTCGGAGTTGAAGGACCAATGATTTCTAAGAATCTCAGATTTTTATTGGGTTTATGCTACTGTTTCTGTTGAAACATCACAAAATTTTGGGATTCAAATCATGGTTCGTGTCGGTGTATTGAAAATTCGAAACGTGTCGGATGTGTCGACACGAGATTTCGATCCTTGTGACAGCCTCTATCCAAAACAACTTCCTACATAGTATGCAAGGGCCTTGTATTTATTGCTTATATAGTTTACATCAAGAGTTGTCTCTTTTTCTGTTGGAATCAAAGGGTGCGTTGAGATACCAAAACACAAAAATTGTACATGGACACATAACTCTGTCAAGTAATGGTGCATAAAAATTTAAGTCGTTAACTCAGAGCAGATCTTTAAAAAGTATTGCGAACCATATTTTGAACAAAGGGAACAACCAAAATTGTCAACAATGTCAAAAGTTCTGGCATACAACAAGTGCACCGTATTAGAAAATTCAAAAATTGTCCCGCCGAGCACCAACAGATGTTGCTTCCAGCATCTAAATACTTTTGACGCAGAGAACCCCTAAACAGAAACAGCGCCCTGCTTAAAACTATTGTTTGAATTAGCCAATTCAATTTTAATTTTTTATCACCTTTTTTTACGAGTAAACTATTGAAAAAATTATTCGAGTGGAAATGAAAACCAGCAGCTTTTTTACGAATAAATTATGGAAAAAATTATTCGAGTGGAAATCAAACCAGCAGCTTTCCAATTCTGCACGAGTGAATCCAGAAAAAACTCTTACCCATGCTTTTTTGCTTGATGATACTGACAGAAGTAACTGCATCACTGTGCCCCTCTAGTACATGTGTACACAATCCAGCAGCTTTCCAGATCCTAATAGAGTATATAATTCACACTCTATAGGTTCATATTTCTAGAGAACAGGAAATAGACCATAGAAATAATCAGACACGGAGTTATAATCAACCAATATTACCTTCCAAAACCATCATAGCACCCTGTCAAAATGAACCTGCCAGTTTTCACAAATATGAGTAATTCTATTGATCGATAAAGAACGCAGTCAATAAAAACACAACCCTCCTTCACTGCAAGGTAGAAGATTTAAACAACAGCAAAAGTTTGGGTCACCACGCATGAAAATACATTTTCTAGAAGTCTGAGGAAGGTCACTTATTCAATCAATGTCGTAGAATAGGTATACCAAGCCAACACAAATGGGAGGATCAACACCAGGTAATAACCTTTATCATCTATTACACCCTACAATAGTGTTAAATGCAAGAACAACCTTCAAATATTCAACATTCCAAAGCATCCCAAGTCCAAGAAGTTGGGTGAAACCTCCTTCTCTCCCTAGGAGGTGAGCTTCTGATTAAGAATTTACAAACAGGTGATCATCTTGGATTTTTGCAGCATTCAGTTCTTAGGAAGTTTATGTTTGGGAGTCAAACTTATTTTCTCACCAAAATTAAAACAGCTAGTTGTTTTGAATGGACACTTTGGTTGCTGTGAAGAATTTGGAAACAAAACGAGCCAACTACTGTAATATATTCCCGGAAAAATAAGAATTTGAGAAAAATGGGATTGTTGTGCTGCCAAGATATATCTAACTCGACCAAACAGCACTGATAACTTCAGTGGCATGCATTGTGTTACGTTTCATTTACCTAGAGCCAAATGATCCGACTTTCTTTAACCCCGATAGAGGTACACACCCTGATGTCACGTTCCTCAAAGTTGCAACCATCAAATGTTAGAGGATACAAAAGATACATGCCCAAAGCATCTATGAAAGAACGGCTCCCTCCCATCCGAAATATAGAAAAGATATTGAAATAGCAAAGGATCCAAGCAACACATTGTTTGGCATACACAAGTCCAAGGAAGTGTAAAAAGTGCAGTAATAACATGACCATAATATTGTTACAAATTTATGTGCTTACCCAGGATTTGAACCATCCACTGCACTGACCCAATCATCATGTAAAGATGGTGTTTCTTCTTTTCGTGGTGCCACAGCCTTAATGTATTCAATTTCTAATACTCTCTCCTGCAATAAAAATCACAGATATCTAGTTGGAAATCAAAAGGAAAATCACAATTGCAAATATCATGGTGGGCATCAATAACAGTACTTTGAGCCCGTTTGGTGTCTCAAAAATCATGTTTTAGAAAAGAAGATTACTGCTGAAATGCCCTTGGCAAGAAGAAACTCTTCCAGCGACATCCGAACCAACTCTCCATCAATTAGAAAATCAAACGGTTCAGTTTTCCAATCTTCATTTCCTGGTACTGATCAGCAGGCAACAAATTATTAATATGACCATACGACAGAACATGAAATATGATACATATGCAAACAGACATGCTAAACAAGTTGATACCAGCTTTAAGGAGGTTATTGACAACAGCAGAGAGGCCCAATCTGGTGAGATTAGAAGGAATGGCAATGGAAGTGAGTGGAGCTTTGAACGGAGGCTTAAGTTTGGTGACAAAGCGGACTTGGACACGCCTCGACGCTGCCTCTTCAACATCTCCATCAATATCCATGTCTATCTACATAAGGAGATAGAGAAATAGATAGATTATATCTGCATAAGTATAAGGAAGCTATATATATGCAGTTGTGTCCATCGAGTTGTCCTGTATAGTATTCGGGTCATATCGTTTTAGGTTTGTATCAAATAATAACCCATCTAACCTGACTTGTTTAATTGATCATGTCTAACAAGGCTTGGATATTACAGGATATGTGTAACAGCGACATGCTCAATATACCCGAGAAGTTTGGTTTCGAAACAGCCCCCATAACAACCTATGTAACATGTTTATTACAAAAAAAAAAAAAACATGTTTATTTTGACTAACACGACCCCTTTTAGTCGTACATATTTCAATAATCCAAACCATCTATTCACCCACTTCCATGAAGATAACTAAATGAAAATTAATGATTAATTCAGAAAGATTCAAGTTCTACACCATCCTCCAAAAATAATTTAAGAAAACCATGAATACCGAGGTATCCCATTGTTCTTGTTGTAGAACGCAATGAAAGAACAAAATTGTGAGAACATGTGTAACTATAATAAGTTAGTATCATTCCAAGAATATCATAAATATTGAAGAAATCATTCTTCTCCCTTAACCAACCAAAACTACTTTTGAAAACATACTCGACTGCCATTATAAATTTATCTCATTTGGTCACTTCTCACTCTCATCTCTCTCTTTCCCTCTCTTTATCTCACTCCTTTACAATCACGCACAAACGGGTGGCAATCTACAGGATATCAAATCAAAAAAAATCTTTAAAGCCACGTGAATTCATAATTAAATCATTATGTCATGAAGGTAAGAAGCCGGTTAGTAACAGCGGTTAGTAACATCATATTCAAAAAAAGCTGCAAAGAACTGAGACGGAGGAGTCTTACCGGCGCCGGAGCTTTGTGGGAGAGATTCGTCTTCACCAAGTGGATACAAATTACTGGAGTTGTTGCAGAGGCGAGAGAGAGAGAGAGAGCGGCGGATGGATTACGCGATGAGGCCCATTAGGGTTGGAATTGATTTGTTTCAATCTAATCGGGTTATCAAGGTTTTAATTAAATTGTTGTCAGTCGTCTCTCCTCATTTTTTAAGGTTTTAAATTAGTAAATTAGAAATTTAATTTTCTTTTAATATCATATTTTATTATTTCTCTTATAACTACTCATCTTTTCTACTTATAATTATTTACTAAAATTTTATTATTACTATATATCTAGTAACTTTCAATACATTTTTATCCAACTTTTCAAGTTCTAACGATGAAAAAGAAAAAAATATGATAAAGTAAAATTAAAAAAAGGATAATATTGTGTATCACAGAGATGGGGCTGCTAGTATTTGGATTTGTATGTCTTGTTCGTCATTCGATAATGTTAAATAACTTAATATTAAGGTATTTATTGAGTCGAATTTTGCGAATTTTTGTTTGAATTTGTAGAACTCATTTTTTTAAACGAGTCTAAAAATTTATAAGCTCAACTTGTTTAAAACCCGAGTAGAATCTGAATAATTTGACTATTTTACATATAAACAACTTGAATTTTGCGAATTCAAATAGAGTTTTTTTACACTTATTTTTCTAAGCAAGATAAAAATTTTTTTCAAATAGAGCATGTTTAAAATGCGAGTCGAGCTTAAACTGAACTCGAATAATTCGTCTTAATTAACACTCATAATGAGTATCATATTTTCTATATACAAATGACAAAAACGAGAACACAAGTATTCTACATTTTTTTCAATATCTAGGGAAAAAAAATCTTGTAGTCTATATCCTTTACCTTTTGTCCAAACTAAGTATCTAAAATTGAAAAACAACAAAATGTATTCGGTCGTAGCCGATAGATACAGGTTACATCAATGCATTTTAATTTTTAATACTTATTAAAATTAAATATTTCAAACTTGGTGATCATCCTCATCCTTCAACTGTCCCAAATTTAACTGGTCAGCCATCCTCACCTTATATGATCAAAGAGAACTAGTTTTTGACATTTGTGACAGGAACCAAGTTCTGATTTTGTCTCAGATGGTAGTGTTTCAATGAAGAGACTAGCCTAGCAGTTCCTGAAGCACTGGTTGAATTGACATGATATGGCTACATTCCTCCCAAAAGAAGAGATTAAGTTCTGAAATGTTCCAGGATGAGAAAGATTTTTTCAACCCAAAACTATGATCTAATCAAACCAGTACAGATTAGAGTTCTACTTCATGTTGTCTACGAAATCAACAAAAGTAGAGGGGGCAGATTTCCCAACTTGTGGCATATTATTACAAGGCTCTGTTTAATTTTAACAAGATGAGACCCTGCAAATACAGCATACTATGTATTTGCATTTTGTGGTAAATATGATGATTCAGAAACTCAAAAATTTCTTCTCCTTCAAGCTTTCAACAAAGTCCTTGAGGGACACCTTAAGAGGAAGGAATTCAACGCCCAAACCTTTTGCCCTCTCCTTGGATACCTGGTATGGAGGAGCAATGGGCTTTTCATCCTTAAACCTGTCATTAATAGAATTTAGAATAGAGTTTAGATTACAAGATATTATTTTACGATACATCAAAAGAATCTTCAGATATCATATCATTAAATTATTATGAAGACAATCGAAGATTGCTTTGTAGTTGGAAAAAAAAAAAGTTCAAAAAACCCCTTATGTCATTAAAGTAGTAAATGAATCTGAAATCAACCATAAAATTACACTCACATATCTCATCAAAAACATGAATTAAATGAACGTTTTCACCTTGAATGATTGTTTTCAGAAAAGGGTACACAGTCAATCTTATGAATATCATTTCCCAAAAAAAATTAAAAATAAAACATTATCCACAAGAAAGCTATTAGTGAATAATTTGAAATTTTTATTCACAATTTTGGGTCTTACTCGTATTAGGGTGCTGAACCTCTATATAAAGAAACAGATAGTAGAAGGAAAACTGCGAGGGACAAGGTACAAACTACCAGGGGTGAGGCCACATAGAGAAAGAATAAGGGGAGCCATGGCCCTCCTCTGAGTTTCTAAAATTACCTTTTGGTCACTTAATTTTGGTGTATCATTATTGAATTCATTAACATGCTCGGATGCTCCCCTCTAAGACATATATCAGAAAATCACCATGTTTTAGTTCCAATCAATCTAAGAGGGATAGATTGGGTATAGACCTAACCTTGGCATTATGCGCACAAAGTAGGTCGACTTTGAGGTGGCAATAGATTGAGATGTGGATCTAGACGTTAAGGCTTAGAGTGTGTCTTTCTAGTTTAAATTTCTGTCATTCAGTGGTTGGGTCTGTCCAGAGGTCTCAATTCAATCTCTTCTCATGCCCCCTAAATGCTAGTTACCATTGTCCCTTTGGAACACATGCTTTATACCAACTCAAACCACGGTGGCCAGCCGCATAGCTCAAGGGAGTAGTCGAGAAAAACCTAGATACTCAAAAAAAAAATCTGAAGTTCAATTATTAGACAATGTTTATGAATATTTCTTTATTGAATAGTTGCAAGATAATATTATGGTTTTAGGATGTAATTTAAAGAAGTTGTTGATGTTTTGTTGGGATTGGTTTATTTATTTATTGAAGATGAAAAATTTTATTATTTTAATTGTGATTTTGGTATGCTCTCATGGTTTAATAGTTAATGTCTTAATTGTAAATTTTAGGGTGTTACAATTACTAATATTGAGTTGGTGAATTTATCTATTAAAGAACATAACAGAGAAAGAAAGGCATTAAGAGACCTTTTAGATACTTTTGTAACTTTAAGATTCTTCTTTTAATAATTCATTTGTAACTTTCAAATACATAACTTTTAAGAATAAAGACTCTTTTTTATACCTTTCCTATTTTACCTTCATATAATGTAAAAGCATCAAATTAGCAGAAATTGTCAATGTGTCCCAATGAAATGTAAGAAAGTTAATTTATGCAAGCATTTGCTAGATGTATGACCAACTTAAATTAATTCTAGTAGTAGCCCCAGCTTGTGACATGAAGTAAATACGTACTTGTCAGGAAGGTTGAGAGTAGGGTAAAGCTCATGTAATATATTTACGACTTCGGAAGAATGTATCACAGTTCCGACTAAACAGTATCTGCCATTAGCCGAAGGAATCTCAAATGCTTGAATATGAGTACATACAACATCCCTAATGTCAACAAATCTATAAATCGGATCAGGGAAGACTTCTTTCCCTGCATCATATCAAATTTAATTGATTGCATCATAAGAAGTAATAGGCAATTATATTGAGAAAAAAAGAAAAAGTAAAAAGATTTCCATATTGAGTGTTGTCCTTGAAATTTGAGAAATGGCTTTTGCCATTACTCATAGATAACAGATAAACGACTAGAAAAGTAATGTTTGGCAAAGATAACAGATAAGCAACTAGAACAATAATGTTTGGCTAGTATATCGACGATATTTGTCCACAAATCACTATTCCAATGCACCCCTTGCTACTAACTAGGTTATCTAGACAAGAAAATGGCAATATAGAGGATTATTGTGGTCCAAAATCTCTATAGTGATATGTGTGTTCCGCGAACTTACATGCATGTAAATAACTTTGCCGGCTAGATACTCAGCTCGTCAGCTATAGCACTACACTGGTCAATATCCACAACACCTAGTATATGGGGATCGTAGGTAACCCATGCGCCTAGTGTTTGGAGTTGCATGACCTCAAAAGGAGTGAGTTCGCAACTTAGATTGCCCAAATCCCTGATCCTAAATTGTAACCTAACTCTAGGTTAGCCCATGTTTCTTGGTAAGCCCAAATTGCAACCTTCATTCCAAGTTAGGAATACACTCAATATTTTATCTCTTTATTTTGGTGATTTTTAAACTTATTTTTTGATTTGTTGTGATTTGAATTTTTTGTGCTACAAATATGCATCCATACACACTTTATTTTTCTTTATTGATTGAAAACGTATGTATTTTTTCTAGGTCAGCATTGACTAGTTTATATGGATGCACATTTATTTATAATTTCATATAATAGTTAAAAATATTAAAAAATAATCCAGACTCAAAATAATGTATCAACCAAGTTTGTCCCCATTAAACCTTGTACCAAAAAGAGTACCGTGTTGTGTTCTTCTAGCACGTTTCAAATCAACCTAAGATCTAGGTAATATTGTTCAATACATTTTCTAACAAATTGATGAGCTTACAAGTCAATTTATAGTAATTTTGGCCTTCCAATTTTATTTAGTAAGACAAAAAGGAATTACATTAATATACCTAGTAAGGTGGTGTTTGATAAAATGAAAGCTAAATACTAAAAACTGAATGCTGAATTTTAAGTACTGAATACTAATTTTTTTTATTCGCAGACTGTTTAGTATCAACTGAAATTTAAGTATTGAATTTAATTAAACCGTTTGACAAATATAAAGAGTTGAAGTTTGAAAATTATTATTATTCTAATTTTATCCTTCTCTCTACCTATCTCTCTGCAATTGTCTTATTTCTATCACTACCATCACAATGGTGGTGGTAATGGTGAAGGCGATGATGATGATAGTGGCGTGGCGGCAACACAATGGTGGTGGTGGTGGTGATGGCAACAACGGTGGTAGTGGTAGTGGTGGTGACGATGACACAATAGTAGTGGTGACAACAACAATGATGGTGGTTATGGTGGCACAATGGTGGTAGTAATGACAGCGATGATGGTGGTGACCGCGGTGGTACAATGGTGGTTATGGTGGTGATAGTGTCAAAATGGTGGTGAGGGTATATTCGTCCATTATGAAAAATTGATAAAATCTTCACTAACTAACATTTTCAGTATTAAGTGATAAGTAGGTGGCTTATTACTTAAAATTTTAGCCTATTTTTAAGAAGTGTTTAAAATATTAAGTAGTATGAGTTTTCGGTTATCAAACGAGTTTAATTTATTAAGTGCTTAAAGTATTCGATTTTAAACTTTAAGTCATGTTATCAAACAGCCCCAAAGTTAGCAAAAGAAGGAATAACCATTGTACAGTCAGTGTTCAAGATACACACATCTCCTAT